TGACCCAACCGGTGGACACTGCTGGACTACACACACACTGTGTCCAGGATGAAGCCTCCTGGCCTATTTCATCTGCATTTCGTCTGCCTTGGTTTCTTTAACCTGCTGCCTTAGTTAGCCAAGGTCTTTGGTATCAGACCCACGTCCAGAAGAGCAGACAGACTGCCCCCCAGAAACCAGCGATATATAATAATAGTCCCAATCTCGTTACAAACTACAAACAGGGGTTCTGTATTGCAGTCTACAGTGCACAGGCACTTTCTTATCAATGCTTTGATTCAATTAATTTAATTTTGGCAAGCGTCCTAAAAATGATATTATATTTCCCATTTTGCAGATTTGGAAATTGAGACTCTGGGCTTGCCCAAGGTGACGCAGATAGTAAGTAGTAAAGCCAGATTGGAAACGAAATGGTATATTCATTAATTCATCAATGAATCAATGCTCTCCTGCTCTGCCCCAGGCACTATGGTAGGCACTGAATAATGTTGAAAGCAGGAAAAGATGTGATCTGGGCTCGTGGTCTTTCTGGTCTGGGGATTCCTAAGGATTCTCTTTGTTTTTTTATGTCACTTTACTTCATAACAGCAAAAAGCAACATGTAAAAGTGTGGCAGAAGGTAAAGAAATAGGATTATTTAGCTCAGATCCAAGAACACGAGAATGTTAGCAGTCTGGGGCTATTCAGTATGTGGATAAATAGCTTCAAATACCTCAAGCACAATCAAATTGATAATTGCAGTAAGAAAAGGTTAAATTATGCTTGGCAAATGTTATTTGTATGACAAAGGGATATGTAATAAATTTTGAAAAGACTTTTATCAATGATTATTGAAAAATGTATCAGAGTTGAAATATCAGTCCTTGAGCAAACTCATTTGTGCACCAAAGGCTTTGCCATATGACTGGGGCCCCAGCCCCATGTACAGTCCAGGCACCGTGACTCTGGAAAATGATGCAGTTGGGCTGGCTGGCTGGTATTTTCAGTTGTCCCCACATCATCCTTCTGTGAGCCAACCCTGCCCAGACCTCCAGAGCCAGGGGCTAAAGGCACACAGATCACGCAGGAAGAGTTGGCTCTAAAGATCCCTTCCTCCTGCCTCTGGGCCTCCACAGCATAAGTGAACCTGGGACACGGAGGAAGTGCAAAGAAGCCTCCTGTTGATGGGGTCAGAGTGAGACCATTTATCTTCCCTCAGTAAAAAGGTGTTTTTAACTTCCTATCAAGGGTAACTCATCAATCCTGGTATGAGATGAGAGCTTCATTAAAAATACAATTTCAATTAATTTTGTGTGTATGCTTTTCTGAGTCAGAACTGGGGAGGTTTTGGCTTTTCATGGGCAAATGATGTAGGAATGGTCACTCACTGACAGTCCTGCACATTGCTGGCCCCTCACCCAGGGTGAGTTGTTAAATTGAGTCTGTCCGTGCTTCCATCCCGAGGACTGGCAATGGTGGATTGTAAAGTTGATTGAAAGATTAAAATGAAAGCTCATACCAAAGATGAGCTTCTGTGTCTTCCTAGGCACATTCCAAGTGATTTCCTTGACTCTCATCACTGACTCCCTCGGGCTCCTGAAACCATTTTCCTCATTGACAACTGTAGGGATGGGAATAGGAGAGTTGTGTAGAGAGATGCTGACTTGGGATGTGCTAGCTGAGATTCACGGAAGATTCCATGGATCCTGATCAATAGTCTTCTTTTCATACCATTTGCTAATTCTAGACATGAAATTCCTGGATTCCCTCATGAAGTGTGGGCAAGAATTTAGCCAATGATGACTCTAGTTGACACTTCCCAGGAAACTCTGCACCCTCAAAAGGGCTTCTGGAAGAGGGAAGCACATCAAAGCAGAGGCGAGGGATGGGAGTGAGTGGTGCCAGACCGCTACACAGCCTTTCCTGAGACACATTGATGACTTGGTGTAGCACCTCTCAAATGCCTTGGTCGGGGTGAGATCTCCATCACAGCAGGTGTTTAAGAAGAGGTGGAATGACCCACCAGTTAGATACAGTGAGATTTTCTATGCTATATGGCTCATTGAATTTATGACCTCGAAGACTTCATGACCCTTGTATAAATGTATCTAAGAGACAGAAAATTAGACAGAGATGGAGTCAATACTTAAAGCCCACTGGACACTTAATGTCCATTATTTAATAACCAGCATTTGAAGATATCAATTTCTAGACTGCTTTCCAAAAGCCAGGACACCTGGCTTCTAATCTCAGTTCTATCTCTAATTAGCCACATAACCTTAAACAGATTTCTTCACCCCTGGATCCTTGGCTTGCTCGTCTTTAAAATGGAGACAACGATGGTACCTTTAGTGTTTGCTAGATTGCTGGGCTCATGGTCTTCTTGAAGTCAGGGATAAAGGCCACTTGCTCCCCCAGTTCTCCAGATTCCCACAGGGGTGACGGAGGAGTGTGGATTCTTGATAGTGAGCTGCAATAGGGTCATGAATAGGAGTGTGCTGAAGAGAGGGGAACAATGAGAAAAGCTCTATAGAAAGATGGATCAGTTGTCAGGTCCCTTCCAGATTTAAAGACCTACAATGCTGCATTGGAAGGCAAGTATCTTGTGGGGGGAGGTAATGCAAAGGCTGAGTTTATTTGTCTTATCACTGCCACCCTCAACTGTTACAGAGTAACCTTTGTTGAATCCTTGTGCTGCTTGGGACTAGATTTTTACCGCTTTATCTACCTTCCAGAATGAATTTAAGAATCAAATAAAACTTGTGTACACAACACTTTTCAAATGCAGACATTAGCCTTTGATTAATACTCTGAATTTAATCTCTGGGGTAGTTTTTTGGTTGACTGCAAAAGATTTACCAGTCTTCAAAACAATTTTCTTCAGCTGCCTTTCCTACACCCATCAAGTTATAAGGTCTGTATTAGCTCAAACTTGAACGTGCATCGGACTCTGGAGAGCTTGTTGAAAACAGATTGCTGGTCCCCATCCTCAGAGTTTTTGATTCAGTAGGCTGGGGGTGGTCCCGAAAATTTGCATTTCTAAGTTCCCAGGTGATGCCCCTGTTGCTGGTGGTTCCAGGGCTATACTCTGAGAACTACTGGATGAATTCTTTGATGCATTTAATATTTACATAGATTTTCATGGCTTGTTTACTTCCAAGATATTTCATAGTATGTCTGTGAGATGAGCAGAAGTCAGGCAGTCTTAGGGATATTCTATAAATATTCTATAAATATACAGTGAATCGGTGGTCAAGTGGTAATAATAGGATTTTTCTGGACATCCGTTTCAGCGTCTTTCCCAATTGGGCTGGACTGCCCCCTACTGGCTGGTCAATCATGGTCACTAACCACCCTCCTAATGACCCATCCCCACCGAACTTAGGCTGGTAACAGGCTGCAAGGCTGCCCTTGCAGATCAGTGTTGTGTCTTCTGGTACCTGGTGCTTGCAAGGCATCTGTTTCTTTTGGTGGAAGGTGTGAAGCTGAGGAATGAATTTTCACTTTCTCAGATTCTTCAGTTGGAAACGATCCCATCTGTCCCTCTGCAATCACTAAGCGCTGCGCTGGTGGCACTCTGCAGGGAAGACTGTGCCGTCACCCACATGGCTTCTCCGGACCCAAATGGAGTCAGGCTCCTGTGAGTCCTTTTCCCCACTAAGCTTTATTCTTGGCCTGCAGAGACAGTTTTATCAAAGAATCCTGCTAAGCCAGTTTATCAAGAATTTCCCTGCCTTTGATATCCAATCAAACTCTTCTTCCTCCAGCCTTGATCTCTAGTCAAGTTCCTCTTCCTCCTAACCCTTGACACTCAACCAAATCCCTCCTAGTAATTTTTTATCCTCCCTCACCCTGCCTGCTGGCTCTGGCCGTAAATCTCCACTGGTCCCTGTGTATGGGGAGTTGAGTTCCGTTTCTCTCCTATTGCAACAGTCTTGAATAAAATGTTTTGCTGCTTTTAACGCATGTCCAGTGAATTATTATTATTTTTAACATCAAGAATGTTCTTGGGGCTCCTCTTTCTGTGCCCAACCTGGGTACCAAGGGGGAGGTATGTTGGTGTCCTCAAAATTGCCCTAAAAACTGAATGATTTATCACCCTAGCTATGAAGCCTCAGCCCTTGAGTTGATAGGGAAGTTATCCACACCTTTCTAAAACTGCTTTTGCCAACACCCACATCTCCAGGCCCTACTGGGGCCCATTTATCCCTTCTCAGACTCTATGGTGGCCTCTGTTCTTTTCTACCTGCTGAGGCCGGGGATCTTGCGGATCCCAAGTGAGGCCAGAGGGGGACTGGCAGGGCGGGGAGCCTGGAGGAGGTGAGTTGGGCTGGTGCTGAGCCCTTCTAAGCTGCCAAACCAAGAAAGGTAGGAGGTGTCAGGAATGAAAACCAGCCAGTGAGCACTAAAAACCCAACGACAAGCACTTTAGTCTTGTAAAGCCACAGAGAAAGGCTCAGTCTTTTGGCAGTGTATTTTTTCTTCCTCCTTTCTCCCTTTCCAGATTCACAGCAGTCTTCGGGCTGAGCAGGTTCGTCTGCTGCCGTTACTATGGCTGCTGCTGCTCTCGGATGCCTGTGTGTGCGTGCGTGTGTGTATGAGAGCGTGTGTGCGTGTTTTCTCCAGAGTGACTGGTTTGTGCTGTCATCAGCCGTTGTTTTGGTAAATGGCGAGTTAAACAGATATATCCAAGCGTAAAATCTAAAAAATGTTCCCTCTGGGCGCCTGGGGGGTGTTGTTTGAAATCAACTACATATCAATTGAGCGGCGGCGAGCGGATCCGATGATAAATTCCAGTCCACAGACGCCTTATAAATTACATTTTTTTGTTCGCGATCTTGCCTCATCTCAGCTCCCCAGAGGCCCTTAGACTGAGAACTATGATTGTGTTGGAGAAACGTTTGCTCAGCTTGAGTGAGGCCATTAGCATTGCATGTGCCAGTCCGTCCCTGTGCTCCCCCCACCTCCCCCTGGCCCCCCCCCACCCGACCCTTTAACAAAATACAATATGTGCCTGGTAATTTTTCTGTTCATTATCTCATTGTTTTCTGTAAGTACAAGGTTAGATTGAATTACTGCGGGCTCCGCCGTCTATTTGTAATTCTCCTTCCATGCCGAGCTGCTAATGAATGGGCAATTTAGTCAATTCTTTGTAACGGCTTCTTCTGTGCGTCAGCCACTTAATTACTCTGAGCCTTTCTCACTGCTGCTTTATTACACGGAAAGTCGAGGCTGCTTTGAGGGCTTGGCACAGGGATCTCTGGTTTCCAAAAAGGAAAGAAAAAAAAAAAAAAGGGAAAAATTGTCAGAGGCAACCAGGATTCTGTATTCTTGCTGCTTCCTGCAGTGGCTGGAGAAACATTCCGTGCCTTCAGCCCACACAGCCCCCGGTCTGTCTGCACACAGGGTTTATCTTCCTCCCTCTTTGCTGACAGTTGGCTTAATCCTGGCTGTGGCAGTCACTGTCAGGTGGCAGAAAGGCGCAAGCTCCTGCACAGAGAACAGCATCCTAGAGGAAGGGTCCTGGTGTTTTAAAACATTATTATTAGCCTGACTAGTATGCCACCTCTCCTTCTTGTCAGTATCTCCAAATCATAGCCAGGGCTCCCATTCTGTGAGATCCAATGTTTCCTCTTTGCCTTAATACAGAGCACCTCACCCTGTGACACAGGGAATGGGGCAGGGTGTTTACTCTCCCCATTTAACAAAGGGGAACAGCAAGTCCGGGCAGGTGAAGGGACTTGCTTGGGTCAATGAACCAGGAATAGCAGAACCAGGACTTGCACCCAGGTAACCCAAGGCACCTGTCCTCTTCCCATGCCATGCTGCTGCCCAACAGGAGACTTTAAAATATTGTGCTGTCACTGAACTCAAGTGTCCCAAAATGGAAATAGAGTAAGCTGGCCTTAAAGGGACCAGGACAACTCTGGAAAGGGAGGAGACTTTCTGGCAATGGCTGAGAGGCTGAAAACCCCCAAGGAACTGGGAACTCATTACACAGAACATCCGTTTTCAGTGTGGCACCTTTGGATACATCTGCCATGCTACCAGGATATTTCCGTGTGGCCCAGAGTTATTATAGACGCACCTATAATTCATTGTCCAAACCGGGACATGTCTGAAAGTGAAACGAGGCAGGGTCATGCTGGAGCCACAGGAGTGAACTGGGACTGTCTGGAGCAAGCTGGGTCATATGGTTGCCTGACCCAGGTAACGACAATGTGTAAATGCTGTGTGGACAGCGTGTCTTTAGACCTGGCTTACTCTGATAATAATACTTACAGGGAGTTCCACCAGCTGGATCCACCCCGAGTTCACAGACATTCCCTGTGTTGCATGTTGCAGTGTTGTATGTGAGCTACAGGGAATCTTCATCCAAATCCAAAAAGTGATGGATTCCACAAACACTGAGTGAGCACTCAGCTAGGTAATAGAGACAGGAGAATGAGAAGACAAGGTTTCTGGCATTTTGATGCCACTGCTCTAGCAGAAGGAAGGTAAATGGTTCTCTGAATGTCACTAATCTCCCCAAATTGCCTCCCGAATGTGCCAGGCCCCTGCTTGGAAATCTCTTGTCTTCCTCCGGGCTCTGACTCACTCCTCTTCATTCTTTGGATGTCTGTATAAATGTCACCTCCTTCAGGAAGACTTCCCTGATCTCCAAGATTATACTAGGGCCCCTTTTATTCTATTTTATGGTGTTATATTCCTTTTATCTTCATTACTTCCCACAACTATAACTAAATTATTTATGTAGTTATGTGTTCAATATCTTTCTTTCCCCTCCCCCACTCAACCTTGACCTGTCTGTAAATGCAGAGACTGGCACATAGATCTAGAAAAGTCTGTTAAATGGAACAGAGCTAGTCACTTCTCTGGGTCGAGCTGTAGTTGCTTCCTCTGCTGGAAGTCTTCCTGGGTTGCTGCATCCTGTTCTAATCTCTCTCTTCTCTGAGCTCTGTGTAGCTCACACAGTCTGCAAAGCATCACAACACTCTTGATTCTATCCTGGCTGCACCTGTTTTCTCTATCAAACTGCAGGGTTCTGAAATCAATTTAGCGGGCCGAGACCAGGAGGAGGAGGAGGAGTGGAGAGGAGAGGAATAGAAGCAAACAGTGGAAAATACTGGGATACATCACACTTGATAAGGTGAAGGATTGTGCCAGGAAATTCGTTTCAGTTATGTCTATGTTCACACACACACACGTGCATGTGCACACACATACACAAACACGTACACATGTGCATTTGGTCATAGTGTGAGAAGTGTGTCTTAAACTGAGGCACAGTCCAGAAAGGTTTACCAACCCTGGCCAAGGTGGTGCCTGCCCAAGGGTGGCATTTGTATGAGTTTGTTGGGAGGAGCTAAGTGGGCCTCTGTCACAGTGGCACTCACCCCTACCAGTACTTTCTTTGCCCAAAGATCTAGGCAGAATAAGGTGTTGCCCCTGCCACTCACCTATGTACACCTGCAAAGAGAGAGGGCTCGAAGTGCCAAGGTTTCCCAGGTGGCTTCTCATGCCTGTTTCTCTGGTGCTTGCCCATGCCTTGTGTTTCCAGAGGAGATAGAGCTGCCACATCCTCTCCTGTGGGCTTCCTCAGTAGTGTGGGGTCTCTGCTCCACCTCTGGCAGGGTCTCTCCTTTAGCAGGCAGCAGGTCCTCCACCTCTCCCTTGGGTTCCTGGTGTCCTGCTGTGGGTCAGACAAGCCATTTTCTCTTTCCTTCTCTCTCCTGTCTGCTGTAGGGGAACACTTACTGACATACTAAGGCTTGCTGTTATTTTGCCACCCTGAGCCTCAGTTTTTTCATCTGTCACTGACTCCTCGTAGGATCTTGGAGAGAATTCAGTAGCAGAAAACACATGTGCAGGAACTAGCACGAAGAGAGCACTCAGCAAGTCCTGCCTGCCTCCACCTATGCGTCCTTCTCTCCCTTCCACCGCAGCAGGGCTGGGGCAGGAAGTGGGCTGAAGGGTTAACGTGGTGCAGGGAGCGGGTTGCTCTAATGGCTTCTGCCATCACAGTCTAGTTCTATGTGTGTTCGGTGTCCTCCTAGGACAGGACCCTGAGCTCTGCATGGAGGTGGTAGACTCTGAACACTGCTGGAGAAAATAACATAAGATCTTCACTTTTAATACACATGGGTTCAATTTCTATTTCACAGGAAGTGGCACCACAGGCTCTCCCAAGTCAAGGGGCTATCATGTCTTGTCCATGAGTGTTTATCATCTAAGCAGGCTCCATGACCATGGAAATGGTTTTTCCATTACTTTTAATTAGAGTCCCAATATGCATCAGAGGAATAAACTTTTGATTTGCCAAGTAATGGCAAAACTGCAGTTACTTTTGTACCAACAAAATATATAGAATGTTAGTAAGAGTTTGGGATGACACTGTGCATGATTTTAACATTCCACTTTTCTTGCATTTTCTATATCCTTTGCAATGGACATGTTTTTACTTTGAGAATGAAGTAAGTTTCTTTTTGTCTGCTGTGAGTCCTTAGCCCAGGTTTCTATAACAAAACAATGGGTCCCATTGTTAGCAAACCCAGTGTATGAAAACTTGGACAAACATGGCAGAAGTCTGTGCTTTATGGTAGGATTTCCAGCAGTGCTGCTTTCCAAGGCCAGTCCTCTGAAGACATGACAGAGTAAACCAATCAATTCCCATGGCTGATGTCAGGTGGTGGTGGCCCCAACTTCCTTGACTTAGACGAAGTTGGTTCCTCACCAAGAGGGAGTCAGCCCTCTCCTCTTGCTTCCCAGGTTGGGAGGCTGCAGAGACCCTGTGGTCACTCAGCTGCCTCTCATGCAAGGGCACAGTGCCCTGAGGAACAGGTGATGGATAGTCCAGCTCTTTCTCCCCAAAGGCTGGCTCTCACATCCCCTAGGAAAGGCACATGCCAAGAGACCCCAACCAAGCCGACCTGACCCATCAACAATTCCACACACCTCTACCCCTGTCTCACTGACCCACACCTCAAGCCACCCTTATCTCCCCAGCTTGGCCACAGTGATGGAGTCTGAAGACCCGCAGAGCCGTGATGTTCTGTGACTACTCCCATGCAGCCGTTACTCTCCAAATACCCTGCCCACCAGTCTCTCCACACTGCCACATCCCTAGTACTTAACCATGGGCTTCAGACATGTGACAATGAACGAGATCAATGCTGATGTCCTGCCAGGAGGGACTTTGCAACTCTACTAGAAGCTTCTGAGCTGCTATTCCTGACCCAACTCTCACCAGCAGCGATCTTGAACAAGTTCTAAAATCTCCATGGGTGGCAACTTCCATCTTTCAAAACGAACTAACATTTATTAAGCATCTGTAATCAGTCAGAGGCTATGCTGTGGGCCCAGTTAATTCTCACCTGATATTTTGGGGTCTAATTATGATCTTCATTTTCCCAGTGAGGTAACTGAGGCTCAGAGAGGTTAAATAACTTTAATAAGGTCAAAGCTCCTAAGTGACTAAACCCAGATTTGAGCAAAAGTTCTAAAACTATAATTGTCAAACAAATGAAAGGAGTTATGAACGTTTTGAACCTCCAGGCACTCTCTTCGACAATACCATTGGAGAGCTGTTGTCAGTCATTCACGTCTTACTGGGAATTAATTTTTTATTTCTTCCCTGACCACTGTCCAGGATCCAGATATCACAGAAGGAAACTTTGCAGTCATTTACATTATGGTATGAGTTAATCAGAAGGCTTTCCACTTGACAGCTGTCCAGAACCCAGGCACCTAGAGAAGGAGATTTTGGTTAATGGCAGGTGGATGATAGAGGGAATGATCTTGGACAGGGGACAGTCGTGAGGAGGGCAGGCCCTGTTGTGTCCTGAGGGCAGACAAAGGCTTGAACCTTTGGAGAGGATGATGATTAGGAACAAAGCACACTTCCACTAACTTCTCTTTGTGACACAGGAGTGGATTTCTGCGTGTGATTTCAGAATCAAGAGTGTTGACTTCCCACCCAGTGGGACTAGGAATTGGGAAATTGCCTGCTATCCAGCCTCTAAATCCAGTGTGGAGCAGCAAAAGCAGCTCTGACTCCCAGGCCAGAAGCCCAGGGCTTGTGACCTTGGGCAGGCCTTTCTTCCACCCTGAACTCCAGTGTCCTTTCAAATGAAATCTGGGAGTTCCTCCAGTGTAAACTCTATGGTTCCATATGTTGGTGCTGGTATTGGGCTCATCTCAAATGTAAGGGTTTCCACCATGCCCTTAAGTAATTGGGGGATTGCCTGGAATCCAGACCGTCAGCTTCATTCATCAAGAAGAATTTCTGATATAGGATGGCATTGCAGGGCAGAAGGGTAGGTCACCTCCTAACCCTGCACTTAGGGATGACCCTCAAGGAGAGATTCAAAAGTGCTGTCACTCACGCATTACTGACCTTGCTTTCAACCTGTCCCTGCTTGCTCTGAAATTAGCTCTCTCCCTGTCTCCTGCATGAGACCCTGAGCTTTTGAAAGCAGAGATTGCATTTTGTCACCTCCAAACCTTCAGCTCCTTTCATCATG